GAAGCATTTGATTAGATTCAATTTCCATATATGATAAAGAACTTATCAAAAAATGGGGGTAGATGGAATAGATTTCAACACAGTAAAGGACATTTATGAAAAATTCACAGCTCATATCACTCTCAATGATGCAAAGCTGAAATTTTTCTGCAAAGATCTGGAGCAAGACATGGCATCAACTTTCAACACCACCATGCAGTATATTATTGTAAGTCCTTATCAGAGCAATTAGGTAATAAAGATATAATAGGAATTCAAGAAGGAATAAGTTGATCATTATCTGAAGATAACATAATACACACAGAAATCCCTAAGGACTTCATTAAAAAAGCAAATTGAAACAATAAATTGTATAGCAAGAGTAGGTTACAAAATCAATATACAAAATTACATGTTCCTATATGCAAGCAAACTAGAAGGGAAGAAATCAAGAAACACAATCCTTTTTATAACTGCATTAAATTACACCAAATACTTAGGAGTAAACTTAATAAAGGAGGTGAAGGGATTGTACAAGGAAAACTATGAGACAATATTAAAAGAAACAGGGGACTCAAACAAATAAAAATATATTCCTTGCTTGTGTATTTAGTGCCTAGAAGCAAACCCACATCTATATGGATTATTAATCTAAGACAAAGGAACCAAAAGTTTATATTGGATAAATAAAAATTTCTTCAATAAATAGTGTTGGGAAAACATGACAAGCACATGCAAAAGAATGAAGCTAGATTTCTATGTCCCATCATACACAAAAATTAATTAAAAATGAATAAAATTTACTGTAAGACTTGGCACCATAAAATACACAAATCAGAAAGAAAAAAATCACTCTACAACAACTTCAGTGTTATCTTTGAAGATTAATCTCCAAAAGCAAGAGAAGCAAAAGAGAATATATAGATTATATCAAAATAAAAAGCTTCAGCACAGTGAAAAATACTATCATTAAGACAAAAAGACACCCACTGAATGGAAGAAAATATTTGCACACCATACATCTGACAAGGAGCTGATATCTGATTCTTAAAGAACTCATACAACTCAACAAAAATAAGTTATACAATCAAAACTGGGGGAGGGAAGCCCATGGGTATTACAAATGAGATGAAAAATGTACAAAATGAAAAAAAGATATAAAAATATAGCGAAAGAAAAGAAGAAACAAACAAAAGGGTAGAAGAGCCAAGTAGCAACTTTTCCAAGGAAGACATACAAGTAGCCAAAAGGTATATAAAAAAATTTATCATTATTTATCATCAGGGAAATGCAAATCAAAACCACAGACATGACAACTATGAGTATGGCAATATCAAAAAACCAGAAACAAATGTGTTAAAGGTGAGAAAAAGAAACCTATTTATGTATTCGGTGTGAAGGTAGCCCCTAAAGAAAATAATATATCTATCAAAATATTAAAAATGCATCTGTCATATTATCCAACAATTTCACTACTAGGCATCGGTTTGAAGAATGTAAAAACACCCATTTGAAGGTATATGCTCGCCTATGTTCACTGCAGCACTATTTATAACAACCAAGTTATAGAAAAACATTAAGTGTCCAAATGCAGAAGATCGAATTAGGAAGATGTGGCATACATACAAAATGGAATACAACTTGACAATTAAAAAATATAAATTGTTGCCTTTTGCAATATACGAACAGAACTGGACAGGATTATGCTAAGCAAAATAAATCCAAAGGAGAAAGACAAACACCATATAGTTTTACTTATTTATGGACGATAGAGAAACAAAGTAATGGGATAAAACCAAATCTCTAACAAACCCTAGAAATTTGACTGTGACTTTGAAGTTATTACATCGGGAGGTGGAGGAAGAAGAGTAAAATATGAAGGTGGGTGGGGGGCAATGAACTATATATAGTAAAGGACTTTTCATGCTCGGTGGTTGCAATAGTGTAGAAACATACACCTGAATTGTGTGATCCAGACAAAGGTACTATCACTTACCTTGGTTTTATAGACAAGTATATTTGAAAAGCAAGTGCAGAGTAAAAAACATCACAGAATAATTAAATACCATGGAGAACTAACCTCTAACACAGAATCCCAGGGAAGGAATCAATCGATGTGCCTTGGGTCAAGTGGCTATCTTGGATAAAGTAATTTGTCGTTAGAGAAGGGGTAATAGTATTTGCTTTGCTTAAAGCCAACTTTCCCCACAAAGGGTTGAAGGTGGTTACTAAGATATTGGGAGAGAAATTGCAAAGAAGAAATATACAAAGCTGAAGAGGTAAAATGGGCCAGATTATTATTATGTAGGACCAGGTTCAAACTTTTCCTATGTGCAATCACTTATTAATTACATAAGTTTATTGTGTTGCTAATATCAGTGTCATCTTTAGAAAGATCAGACTGACAGAGTTTAGGGATTGTTAAGACGGTAAATGAGAAGTTAAGGGACCGTTAACAAGTCTTCCAGGAAATGTGTAATAGGTGCCAAACCAGGGTAGCAGGAATGGGGAGAACGGGCAAACTTAAATCTATTTTGGCATCATGGATAGGAAGAGAGGGTAGAATTAAGAACATACTGCTTCTGTTTTGGGAAACTTACTGAATGAAGATAAAGTATCTAGGAGGAGATGTAGACTTTTGGTGAGCAAAAAGGCAAACTCAAGTTTGAAAATTATAAATCTGAAATAGGATGAGACAGAAAAAGTTAGGGTGATGCAATGTATTGAAAGATGTGTCTAACATATGGATGGGAAGGAGAGGGGTAAGCAGGGAAAAGTTTTCTAGGACAAAAGTTGAAGATAATAAATTGAGGGACAGCATAAGAATTCTTCCAAAATGACTGAGAAAGTAGTCAGGATTCTAAGAAAAATGAGGACCAATCTGGCTTCAAGATTCAATTGAAAATTATTTAGGAGAATAGAAATTGTTTTCATTTTTCAAAGGACTGCACAGCATGCCCAGTCCCACAATGTAACAATAGAAATAAAAACAAAAGAAGTTGAACTCAAAACATTTAAAACAAAGTCAAATCCACCAGGACAAAATTCTTCAACTCTGAGAGAGGAAGTCCATTATTCTTAAGTACCATGAGCAAAGTGGATTCTAGTCACACACTCCTGTTTATTCTTACAAATATTCAGTCATTATATTGGTGCTAGTGTACAGTGTGCACAACTTTTGTGCTCTACTGTGCTTGATAAATATGCCTTTTTCTGTGGTTTGTGTCACTGGTACCAAGTCCTTTGATTTATTCGTTGCATCAACAGCCTTAAAATAATTTACAAGACAAATGTATGTAACATTTGTGCTCATGTCATTAATGTAGATTAGCTCAGATTGATTAGTTCTCCAAACTGTTAAAATGGCATTATTTGGAGCCATATAGAGTCACATGGTTTGAGATGTTGTTTTTATAGGGAGGAATTTGGATTTTTTGTTTATATTTAGTGTGTATACATGGCACTCTCTTCCATTTTCTGTACCTATTTCTTTTTTCTTCCTCAGAACTAACTCAAACAAAGAGAAAGAGATAAAGTATAGATAAAGTATAAGTAGAGAAAGAGATAAAGTATAAAAAGGATAAAAGGAATAGGTTGGGACGGGCACTGTATAATTCATTCATATATGCTGATAACTACAATTTTTCCTTCTATGAAAAAACAACTGAAGAATGTTATAAGATCAGAAATTAATAAGAAATCAAATACTTTGAAAGATTTGTCACTTGCATTTATAGCTTTATTGACTATTACCAAGTTTCGATGTGTTTCAGATAATTAAATACTGCAACTGGGACATTAAAAATACAAACTAATTTACCAAAATAATTGTAATCTGAACATTATGTACAATATTATACATTTTACATTACATAAAGGATTTTTATACATAAAAGGTAAAATTTTATTTGTGATTATTGAAAATCCAAAATACATTTAAACACAATATTCATATGCATACACACATAATTATGCAACTAGGATGATTAAAACCATACACTAATGGGGTTATTTAAAATTAAAATTACATTCATACAATAATGATAGAAATTGAAGTTTGTTTTTCTGAGTTGATAATATTATGATAAAACTATGAAATATGAATTATATAACCTAATACTATATATTTAAATATCATTATGCTTGACACTGAAATGTCTCTATTGCAAGGAAAATTTTAAATTCCTTTATTTTGAGGGATTTAAAAAATTTGTGATCATCAATATGCCTTATGCACATAAGGCACATGCAGATCTAATCAAGCAAATAAGAAGGTGATGGGCTTGTCATACCACCAAGTATATCTCACCATGTAGATTTCAAAAAATCATCCTAATCAGTTATCAGTTTGGTAAGACTTTATATTCATACTTATCATCAAAATGATTACATATTGAGGCACCAAGCTCACAGAGAGAACAATTCTGTGGGGAACTAGAGACTGAAACAAGGATATGGCTTTGGAACAAAGTACTCAGAACGGATACTAATGAAAAACACCCATACACACTGAATTAGTTACTGAACAAAGTGTCAGTCCTCTAGAAAAGTTAATAAACTGATGTGTCACACCTTGTTTGAATGCTGAAATATCTAAATTCATGTGACATGAGTTTTAGTCCTATATTAAACTGTATGCCTTCCAAAAATAGCTGTGGTTTTAAATAAAGCCAGATATGCCCCTACCTGATTTAAAAAGTTTGAAAAATAATGTTTTTATAACACAAATGCCTTTTCAATCGTATGACATTCTTCACACGAATCTTCCAAAGATACACAGACTGGTGAAAATTCCATTAGAACTTTATACAAGAATCTCAGAAAGGCAGAAATTAGTAAACCAGCCAATCTCCTTAAAGTTTACACAGCACTTAATGGTATTCCCTGTTTTAAAAATCCTGTATTTTTTCAAAGGCAAACAATAGAACACCTGGAAACAAGATGAAAAATAACAAGTTGAAACATATAAAAATCAATGTCCTTTCCAGTACCATATAAACTATGAAAAATGAGATTCTGAGCCTAAGGTTTGCTTTATTGTTTTTCTTCTTGTTCATGTTAAAATGAATATAAAAGAAGCTCTAAACCTAGGTTATCAAAAAATATCCATATAAATGTATGAGAATTTCTAATAAAAAATTTTAAAAAGTCTACATTATTAATTTTTGTAATTAAATATCCTAGAGTTCAGTAGGCAGACTGATTTTGAGCAGCTTGAAAAGAATCCATTGGCTAAGGGTTGTCTGAAAATGGTCACAGCTACATTTCAGCTCTTCGTTGTGATTTCTCAGCAACAGCAGCCCCATCTTCTTCCTCCTCCTCTTCTTCCTCATAGTGTGTCTCTCGGCCCTTAGGGTGGTTGTCATCTCGAACTTCTTGTTCTTCCCCATCGTTGTTTTTATCATCAGCCTTCAAATTAAAAGAAAAATGAAAAACTCTGAGATAGAGTATAGAGTTAGTGGTATGAGTAATTTCCTCTTTAACAAAAAAACAAAACAAACAAAAAAAAAAACGGTGCAAAGTTAATCACTTTCGTAGAAAGGAAACCAATGAAGAAAAATGATCCTCTAAACAACAGTGCATGTACTGTCTTTCCTAATCGCTTGTCGCAGGTTCTTTAATTCATGGTGGTGCCACTAAACGTGCTGGCACCTAAGATATATAAGCTGTCCATGCAATCTCGATATGCCTGTGTGTGCTCATGCATGACAGAAACCTAGACCCCTCACATACATTTTCACCATAGGTCTCCTCTGCATTGTGTTCTAATTCCCTTTTTTTCTCTTCAGTCAAATCTTCCTGTACCTATAACAAACCAGAGATAACAGGTGACACTTTAATCATTTAAATGCAGCAAATTTGATTTGCAAATGTTCAAAGTAGGAGAAACAAAATTAAACAAGAAATAAGTTTGAAAAAAAAGATGGAAGTCAAATATTTGACTTATTATATAGGTATGAAAAAATCATGATAGACGAACTATGGGAAGTACCGGCGTGATTGAAATGCTAATGTTTGAATTTCAGATCCTGTGGAATAAGAGTTTATGTTAAGTATAACTCCTGAAAAAAATCAGCTTATAACATTTAATATTCACCTTTTCCCAAATGGAAGATCTACAGCTGTCTAAAGGCTTTGACAGAGTGTAAGTACTACAGAGACAAGAAACATCTGTCTTTCTGAACACACTGTCTTCAGTACAGATTTCTATCTGGCACACTATAACTGCTTAATAAATATTGTAGAATGAAAGAATACTAAATCAACACAAAAAATACTTGCTCTGAGAAGGGAAAGAAAAAAACAATACCCTATATATACAATGTAGTAGAAACATTTTAAAAATGGTTTATTGTATTTCTATAATCATGAATAAACTTTTCTGATTAAAAGATATAGGACAATGAATACAATTATTTTAATTGCTTCATGAAATAGTATGAAAGTGCATAGAATCCCTGTATTTCTGTAGTGTTTCAAAACGGATCACATCAGACAAAAAAAAAAAATATTCTGCAGAGTAAAAGAGACATTAAGCAAAGCAAAGATACCCTACTGATTGAGAGGAAATTTTTGCACTTCTTACTAGTGATGAAGGACTGATTACAAAGATACACAAAGAACTCACAGGACTCAACAAAAACTAAGTAAACAATCCAGTCAAAAAATGGGCAGGAGAAAATTAAAAGACACTTCTCCCAAGAGGAATGCAAATGCCAGCTGGCATATAAAAACATGTTCAACATCTCTTATAATTAGGGAAATGTAAATCAAAACCACAATGAGATACCATCTTATACCAATAAGAATAGCACATTTAAAAAACTTGCAACAATGAATGTTGGCAAAGATGTGAAGGAAAAGGACTCTCCTACACTGCTGGTGGGAATGCAAACTGGCCCAAACTTATGGGAAACTGTGTGGAGTTTCCTCAAGCTACTAAAAATGGAGTTACTGTATGATCTGGCAATTCCACTCCTAGGAACTTACACAAAGGACACAACATTGATTCAAAAGGATACCTACACCCCTTGGTTTATTGTGACACTATTTATAATAAGTAAGGCTTGGAAACAACCCAGAAAAATTCCAAAATTGATGGCTGGTTCAAGAAAATGCAAGATATATACACAATGGGATACTGTGCAGCAATCAAGGAAGATGAACTAATGCCATTCACAACATGGATGGCGCTAGAAAGGGTCATGCTCAGTGAACTATGTTAGAAGGAAAAAGAAGAATGTCAGATGGTTTCACATATAGGAGGAATATAGGGGAACCAATGAGGGACCAAAGGAGCAAAATAATAATAATAATAAAACACAACAAAATCAAACAACAGTTAAAAAGACAAGTACAAATCAGAGACATTCTATAGGGGACAGGGAAAGAAAGAGACAGGGAAAGAAAGGGTGTGTGGTGCTGGTAAATGGGTGAATTGGTGGTAGAATATTCTATGGGGTCTACACCTGAGAAAAGAAGCAAACACTGTAAAATAACTAACTAGCTAACCAAATATATAAGTGAATATGTAGTATCCTGGACCTTCGTCACAGAATCTCAAAGCAACCTGAAAACTATGAAGCTCAAATTACTCATGATAATGATGTCTAACTAAATAGCATTAAATTACTCAAGTGTCCCTATCAAATACAAAGACTCATCTTCTATAATCTTAATAATGACAATGTGTGGTGAACCTAGACGTGGTTTAGGTGGAAGGAAACTGCCTTGAAACTACTGTGTAATGGAAAGAATATATGTTAACTTACATAATCTAGGTCATAAAACTTTCTGTAAAGGGCCATATGGTAAATATTTCTTAGCCAATAGAGACTTTGGAGCAGCTAGTCAGCTCTACCACTGAAGAGCAGCCTTACACAATTCATGTGTAAACAGACATGCTTGTGCTCCAACAGGCCTATGTACAAAACAGGCTAAGACCTACTGTTTCAAACCCTTAGTGGAGACTAGGGAGTCAGAGAGAACAGTATTAAAACCTTGACTTGGCAACTTTTTATTTGGCTATGTAAAAAATAAGGTCATTTGTAATTTTCAAGCACAAAGAAAATAATTTGATAAATTCATAATAGCCATCACCAAGGTTCAAAAGCTGTCTTTATATTGCAATATTTGCATCACCTGTTTCTTTTCTATTTGTCTGATTGACTTTTTAAAAATTGTATTGATCATGTCATTTCACACCAGCATACCAGCAGAGATCAGTACATTTCTAAAAACAACAGGCTTTTCTTACAGAACCAAGTTGCCATTATCACACCTAATAAATAACCCCAGGGTGTTATCTAATGTCAAGCCCACACTTATATTTTCCTGATTCTTTAAAATGTCTGTGTATAGTTGTTCCAATCACGATGTAAATAAAGGCCACATTTAACACAGTTCTATTACCCAATAGCACTCATTAATGTTATTGATTTGTCCTGCAGAATGACCCACATTATGGATTAACTTGCTTCTATAAAGCATCACTTAACTTATTCCTTTAACTCCACAGTTCTTATAAAAGGAACAGTTTCAATATGCAAAGCCACAGTTTCTCAGAGGTATGGAGATGTAGATTTCCACATCAGAAAACACATTTAAGTCTCCTACTTTCAGTGAGGCTGAAGTTGGTTAGTAAGACCAGATGGTGAAAGTTTGATCTTCTACAAGGTCAAAATCCCTGCCCTCTAGTTATCTAGTGTTATGAAACACTGATAATTGCTCTTAAATACCTTTAATTATGGATTGCATATATGTTGATTTTACAATTCTATCATTCTGCATTCACTAACTTCAATGAAAAACTTTCCTATATCAACTCTTTAGTTACTATGCTTGGAAAACTTAAATATGGTAGCCTTTAACATCAGAGCAGTATGGTTCCACCAGTAACAAAGTGTGCAACCTTCAAAAATTTAGCTAACCTCTCTGATGTCAAATTTCTTATATGAAAAATAAAAAGGCTTTGCTCAGAATCAGTGATTTTTGATTTTCTGTGTTCACATAATAGGTTGAATCATGGACACTAACACATCTGTAAGAAACTCTTTGGCGAATGGGCATAGATACATAATATTTTGCACAGATATTTCATTTTGCTACATTCACCCATAGCCATGTATCCATGGAAACTAAAACAATGTCTCTAAACACTGTTTTCTGAAACATCATAGTTGTGGGTCATGTGTTATGTGTGTAGAACATTGACTCATAGGCCTCGCCAGAGATAAGATCAAAATTTTCAAAGGGAAGGTCTGACCCAGACATTAGCATTTTTCACATGTTCTCCACCTTAGCCACAGCAAGGTCTGAGAACCACTTCTCTGAGTGATGGTGGATACCAGGAAAACATTGTCTCTAGCTAGAGACCTTCTTAGGACTTCTTGCTTTTTTTCTCTTGTGATATGTGTTAGAAACAATAAAAAAAAAAAAAAGTTGTTTACCAGCTGTTGACACAGACTGAGGGGGAAGCACTGACTTAAAGGATTCTTTAATAAGAGAACTACAAATGAATTTTTTAATTCCTCAGACATAAAATACATCTTACAATTCTATTAATTTTTTCTTCATGTTTGGGTAAAAGTAATTCAAACTCATCTTAAAGGTATTACTGAAATAGAAAAAAGTGATATGGAGTATTTAATCTTATAACATGCTTAGGTTTATAACCCAAAGCCAAATATCACACTGTTATAAATTCACCAATTAGGTTTTCCACATTCTGCTAAAGCTGATGCAAACATTTTGCCAAAGATATCCAAACACTGCTTCTCATTAGTCATTTTTTTAAATTTATAGTAAAAAATTCTAAAAATGAAATAGTATTATGGATCATAAATAAGGAAAGCTTTCTAATAACCAATAGTTTTGTGTCCTGTCCTAGAAGAGTAACACTGCTGCTCTAGTGCTAAAGAAGGCAGGGATAATACACATTCCCTAACCACTTTTTCTCAGGCCCTTTATTCTCACAGGTCAAGTCCAAAAGTGTCACATGCTGTACAACTAAACAGACAGAGCGCTGGTGAGATTCCATGCCTCCCTAAGAGCAAACGCTGAGAGTATCCAGGCTGCTGTAGGGTACCTGGGAGTGGAACCCATTACAGGCATGGCTGTACACCTGAGAAGTCAGTGGGAAGCTAGGAAGTCGGAGCCATAATAGAGGCAAGAATATTGCACCTGGGTCTCCCTGGTGGTGCAAGGGGTTAAGTCTCAGCACTGTGAAGCTATCACCAGCCACGGTGGCATGAGATCAACCCCCGGCCAGGGAGCTGACCTACATACAGACCTCTTCTGTCTTAGCCGCTGCTCCCCTCTGCAATGTATTTCAGTTGATCTGCATGTTCTGCTCCCTACTCTGCCTCTGGTTAATCCTCTCACCTCCCTGTACCACTGGCCTACACCCAGTTCTTATATGCATAAATAAACAAAAGTAATTCTTAAAAAACACAAACTACACCTCTGTAGCACACTGCATGGCCTTCCGGGAGCCTCTACAAATGCCTTAAACAAATACCACATAAACAACATGTAGGGTTCCCATATTTTATATACCCATTTCTTTTTTCAAGTTTTATTGAAATATAGTACTGTGTTAACTTTAAAGTATATAATATATTTAAGGTGCATAATAAATTGGCTGTCATATATTGTGCAATAATCACAATTAGTTAACAACCATCATTTTCTATAGACACAAAAACTGATTTTGTTCTTATATAGAGAACTCAGGTTTTTTTCTTAAATTTCTGAGGATGACCATGTCAGAGCAATTAATTCATTTCATAATCATTTCATTGTTCCCTAGAATTAGAAATTCAGTTTGTTTCTACAATTACTGTGGATGAATTGCTGAGTAACATATAGATGGAAACACAGAAACTAATACAACATGAATCCCAACCTAAATCACACTATTTTGCCGGTTTTCCTATATAAGAGAAAATCAAGAAAGGATTATTTGCAAGCTGGCTTTGAAAGCTTTCTCTAATGTGCTTTAAACATTTATTTTCTATTCTCAGTAATACATTATACACAACAGTGTCACTTAATTACTTTGGAATCAAGCATCACGGAGTTATCTTTGTCCTGCCAGTCCCACTCAAAGTGTACCCAGCCTACTTATCCCTTTTCTCATTAATTTGGTGAGTAAGAACTGAATTCCTCCTGATACCACTCCCCCAAGGATGGTCACCCCTAGTACAGTGGTCAGAAGTTCAGGAAAAAGAAAACAGCCCTTAGGATGCCATAATCTGCTAATGATCTTCCCATGTTCTAGTCTCTTTCTTTCTCTCTTTTTTATGTAAGCAATTATGAACTAATCTTTTCTTATCACTGAGGTAACAATGGTTTACAACACTGTATATGATTTAGAGAGACAGAATCCCACCCCCCTTTCAGGTATTACTACCACACCATACCCACCACCAAGACACCCATAGTTCTCTATCATAATCCATTATATTTCTGCTTTATTTTGTTCTCTCTATATAGCCTCAGTTTTATAGTCAGATTTCCAGGGGTTGTTATTTGTTTGGCTTTATCTGACAGTTTCGTTTCTCTATAGTCCACATATAAATTACACATCTGCTATTTGTCTTAATCCTTCTGATTTACTTCACTTAGCATTACCCTCTCCAGCTCTATCCATACCTAACAAATGGCAAGAATTTCTTTTTGATAGCTGAGTAGTATTCCATTACTTATCCATACCCATCTTCCTTATCTCCTCATCTGTCATTGAGCACTTAAGTAGTATCCATAGCATGGCTATTGTAAATAATGCTGCAGTGAACAGAGGGATGCATATTCCTCTTTAAATTAGTGTTTTTACATTCTTCAGATTGACACCTAGGAGTATTCCATCTCTAGGTCACATGGAAGATTCATTTTTAATATTTTGAGAAACCACCAGATTGTTTTCTCTTAGGATCTAGTCTCTGAGAAACTTCCATACATTTATTCTAGTCATCATGTTGTGTATTATCTCCCTTATGCTCATTACTCATCTTACAACTAGATACATATATATCTTTTTGACCTCTGCTATTAAAAAACAATTAAAAAAACACTAATATTTAATTACAGAAGTTTGATCAGATTCAGGTGAGTTTTTTTAAATTTGGGCAAGATGGGTATAAATGGTCAGGAGGTCCCTGCTGTCTGGCCATTTCTTCTACATGAACATTTCACTCTATTCCCTTTTTTGTCTTCCACTTGCTGCAGGCTGCTGAGACAGCCATCTCTTTCTCTATCCCTTGAATAGTAGGCAACCGCTCCCCTTCTCCCTCCTCAAGTAAAGAGTTCGCAAAAGTATTAGGAGGTGGGGGGTATCTAATATCTAATAATAACCATCTCAGGAACTACCAGAAGATGACAGCCTGAACAACTGTGCTCAGGGACTCAAGTGAAAGTTACACAGGGACAGGAAAGGCATTCTGGGCTTCCCTGAGAGCTCAGTGACAAAACCTAAGCAAGCATGGGTTAAAAAACCAGACACCATATCGCACACAGGAAAGCTGGGCAAGGAACAAAGTAAAGAGAAATAGGAAGTGGGTTAGGGGTATGGGGAGCAGGTAGCATTTCAAAATAGTTGCAAAGGTGCAGGCTCTCACTGGGTAACTCAATTACCTCTCCCTAGTCAACAATTCTCCTTCCCTTGTAGCACTATGCTTTTATTTTGTTTCTATCCTTGATTTCCCCTTTATGACAGGCTTTTTCTCTCTATCTAATGATATAAAGTAAAAGTGAAAAATAATCAGTAAATACCGATTAAAATTTTATGCTGACCTTTTTGAATTTTGCAAAAAGAAGCCAAGGTGAACTATTCCTTTAATCCCTCCAAGATTTCTGGTGGCTGACATAATGAAACAAAGTAATATTAGTCTAGACATCTTGTTACAAGATAACTCCACAAGAATATGTTTTTCTTGTCAATGTCTTAATATTCAAAACAGCTAGGTTCTCTAATGCTCCTTGGAATAAGGCTACTCAGAGTCGTGATTAGGTTGAACAGCAGGTTGAGAGAAGAGAGAGAATAAAGAGATCAAGCTAGTTGGCCTGCCCACACCTAGAGATGTCTGTTGCCAACGTCTGTGAGAGATATCCTTTTCTACTTTCCTAGTATATGCACCCATTGCAGCACTAGTTTTGTAAAGCTGAAAAATGTGGTAAAATGTTGGGAAGCAGAACCAGAGGGAACTGTGTGTGAGCACAGCAGCACACACACTCTGAGGGGGAGCTCAAGTGGTTTGGCATATGGGTGTGGTGTGTGTGCTGAGTTGCCATTTGTTTCTCTTCTCATGTGCTACTTAGTACCAAAGTCACACATTTATAAGACTCCAGGATGAGTAGTGGCCATGAACCAGGCTTTCATTTACTAGCCCACAGAGAAATGAAAAAATGGGGCGTGGCACCATCCACATGTATTTCCAATGAGCTTTAGTAGTAGTCTCCACTGTAGAGCCTTTTCAGTAAGTGCTTCTAGAAATCTACCAGAGAAGCTGCGGGAGGGCCTAGGACAAAGTGGAGGTGCGGCACAATGCAGTCTGGTGGCGGGTAGGGTGCTGCGTGGTGGATGTGGTATGGTCACCCACTCTATCACATACAACAGTATGGAATCAAAGTTACTTTGTAAAAATAAATAAGTAAAATGAATAAAAAAGTAGACATATGATTCCATGATATTCTATGCATCTAATTAACAATAATATGCCAGAAATTTATAATAAAAAGTAAACTGAAATGGAATGTTAAGACATCTCACTTAAATGCAGTTTAGTCAACTGAGCTCATCACATAATTTTCCTTTTATTATCAAGTTTAAATAAGACACTGAATACTCAAGAGGGGGAATGTCAAGTTTAGAGACCTTTTTTTTTAAACTTCTAGAGGATGTTAAGTGTAGTTCAAAGACAATATACAGGCCACTGTGGTGATGTCTACAGAAATAGTAACAGGCCTTCTCAAAGTGCCTTTGTTCTTCTCTTTTTTATGAGGGAAAGAGATGGGAGGAGATATTCTTGGATCACATAAACCTAAATCCTGCAAAGCCAAATTTCTCAACAATTCAAAATTTCTAGTGAAGAAGGGGAGAGTGAGAATGGGAAACTAATGGTCTTTCGGTGCTTTGATGGTGAGTGTGGTGTGGTAACTTACATCTGAGGAGGTGTGAACCTACTCCCCTAAATTATATAGTGTTGTAAACTGATATTACCTCAATTAATTCCCCCTCGCCAGTGGGAACAAGAAAGGATTTTTTTTTTTTTTTATCTTCTAACCAAATGTTTCCACTGCCTTATAGTTTATTTCCACTTTAAACCCTTTCTGATCTTGCCTACGACTTTCTGAACATTTCTACACAAGACATAAGATGCTGAACTTTGCGTAAGGCTGGTGTGATGCAACAAGGCAGTTTGATCCCTTTCTTGCATTCCATTTCCCTACCTCTTCTTCTCCCTCTTCTTGGTATTGTTCATCAACATTGTCTTCCTGCTGGTCTGGATTTCCTGCCATCTGTTGAAACAAAACAGAAAGTTCAGGTTACTGGACCTTGGAGATGCCCTTTAAAGTACTCGAGGAGGAAGATCAGGCATGCCACCATAAAAAGTGCACTTTCGATGCATCAGTGATTGGAAATGATGAATAATCTTTCCCACCACAAAGCCTTGGATATCTGTTACGCTCTCTTTTTTTGAGTATGGACATTGAATTTCATTCAAAAACTGGAAAATCAATCAAAGCCACAGTATTCTCTCAAAGTTATTATAACCTTTTGCATAGACCAGATACCTGCAGGTAAAACCACCCTCTGCAAGGTCATCTGCTTACCACCAAATGCTCCTCCACATCCGCATTCTCTTGCTTTTGATTACTTTGTTTTTGCTCTTCATTTTCATCAGGTAAATTTTCTTCTCTCACTTGCTCAGCTTCTTCAAATTCATCTTCACCTTGATTATTAGGGTCATCTGCTGGGTTTATATCTTCTACAGCTGCTCTCTGTAAAATTTTAATAAAATGCAGCCACCACTTCAAAATACGGAATCAAGTTTAATTTCAAATGAAAGGCTACACACTAGTAGAAAATGACATTGTCCTTCAGCAGACTGTTCCTATCTATTCTTGCCAAGCCACACATATCATCCCACTGTCAAAAATCAAACTCCTGCTTTATTTCTATGAAGCTGATGAATCAGATAGTACTTCCTTATTGCAAGTGATTTCCCAAAAGAGTCCTCAAAATTCTACATCACAAGCAATATGAACATAACCAGTAAGAAAAAATATTTAATAAAATCCAAATACTAAGTAGGAGAAATAGTTAAAATAGGAGATTCCAATAGGCACATAGTAACTTATTTTACTGGTATGTTGATTCTTATACAAATAAGCTTTCCTTTGCAAGTGATGTTGTACATGTACCTGGATAACAGACAGTTATCCCCACCTGAGGAGGGCTAAATCATCAATTTCTAGTACTGATGATTTCTTTATAACAAACACCACCATGGAAGCTGAGCGGTATTACACTGCAAGAATTGGGAGAAAATAACCTGAGCTAACAACCCAATCTTGGCAATATGATTTGGAAAATTTCTCCCCCAAGGCAAGCCACCTCCTAAGGAGTTTCCAGGTATTGTGTTCAACAAATGCACTTCAGGATATATTTATTCCTATGTTCACTGCAGCAATATTTACAGTTGCCAAGTTATGGAAACAACCTAAGTGCGCAAAGACAGAGGAGTAGTAATGAAGATATATGTGGCCCACTGGGTGGCACAACGGGTTAAAGTACAGCGCTGTGAAGCTAGCCACAGCCACTTCACTACGAGTTCAATCCCCAGTCAGGGAGGGGACCCACATTATGTGGCAGCCCTCTCCTGACCTGTCTGCTGCTCCCTTCAGCAGTGTACTTCATCAATCTTCTTGTTCTGCTCCCCACTCTTTCTCTGGTGAATCCTCTCACCACCCCTCCTTCTGACCTGTATCCCAGTTCTGTATGCATGAATAAATAAATCTTTAAAGAAGATGTATGTATATACAGTGGACTACTTCTCAGCTATAAAAATAAAAAGAAATCTTGTCACTTGTGACAACATGGGTAGAATTGGAGGGAGTTACTCCAATTGAAATAATTGAGAAGAGAAAGTCAAATAATGGATAATTTCACTTGTTCATGGAATATAAAGAAACAAAACAAAGCGACAGGTAAAGTTAAACCAAAACAATGCTAGATATTTGACTACAGAATTGAGGCTACCAGTGGTAAGCAAAGGGTGGAAGCTGCTTGATGCCTTTGTGGTAGGGGTGGGTGTTAACATACACCTGAAGAGGTGTGAACCCATACCTCTTGATCATTTATGATGTTATGATGTGGAAAAACAATGTTACCTTGAGGGAAAAAAAATGTCCTTCATATTATGAGCTTTAGAATTAACTCAAATTTCCACTGAAGCTCTCAGAACAGTTGTCAAACTGCTATTTCTCCTTGTCAAGATTCAGATTTTAGAGCCAGGTCTGGGCAGAAATGATGATGCATGTGTAACTCCCATACACTCCTGGAACTCAATAGGGCACTTCAGAAAAGCAGCAAATGCTTCTCACAGGTGATGAAGCCTCAGAGTAAGATTCAGTCTCCATATCAGTGTTCTCCAGAAAACAAGATTCTCCAATTCACTTTAGATTCTTAAACACGTTTAAAAGCTCACTGCAGTCTCACCTGATTTATTACCAGACATTGCTGATCCTGTACTTCATTCAAGTGCAAATGATAATTTTCTTGGAAATAGAGATCATCACCTTCACACCACACTCTAATTACTTCACAATCTCTTGTCACAAGGATTTCCTTTTGTGCATTATCAATAATTTGTGTAAAAAATATAGGAAAACTGTAACATATTCTCTTTAAAAGTAAGTACCAAAAGTTCTTGCAAAGTTCATGAAAATGTACTCACTAGCTCCAGCTCTGATCAAATCATAAATAAGATTGAACAGGCACTTTTGCTACATTCAAATAAAAAAAATTACCACTTATACCTCAATATCTGGACAAAAATTGTTAAATCTAAATAAATAAATAAGTGAATTAGATAAAATAAAGAAGACATGGGGGCCCCTCCCTGGTAATACAATAAGTTAATGTACAGCACTATGAAGCTATTGCAGCCACTGCAGCACAAGTTTGATCTCAGGCCAGGAGGGAGGTGACCCACATGGCATGGCAGACCTCTCCTGACCTGCCTGCTGCTCCCCTCAGCAGTATAGTTCAGTACATCTGTCTGTACTGCTCCCTACTCTGTCTCTGGTGAATCCTCTCATGCCCCATACCTCTGGCCTGTACCCCAGTTCTGTATGCATAAATAAAAAAAAAAAAAAGACCAGTGTTTGCAGTGTGCTCATCAGAACAAGTAAATAGTTGGTAGAAAGGTAAAGGATTATGCAGCCAAGTAAGTGAAGCACAAAGCATTTTACAGGGATCAGCAATGGAAAAATTGTATCCCTTCCCTGTTCCACTTCTTCCCTCTCATGTACACTCTTCAACTTCTGCATACTTGCTTTCTTGTTCTCTCACAGATCAACACTCTTTCTCCCACATTCTCTCATCCCCTGCTCTGCGCAGCTCTTGCTGTTTTCTGAAAATGCTTTGTGGCTATGTTTTTCCAGAGCACGGGTCCAGAATGCATTTCAGGGGCTGATAAGCCCATAGTTCTGCCATATCTCCCCCCAATTTAGGTAGAAAAGCCATTTCCATCAATGAATCAATGATAATGATTACTAAGGAAGGAAGGAAGGAGTCCTTCTTTCCAGCCACGGAATAATATTACAATCAGAGTCTATGGGATATCACAGACTGAATTTTATAAACACAGTATTTATTAGCAAACAATGACAAGGCAGTTAAATTTGTAAATGTCATGTACACGTAAGCACAAAAACACACTTACTTGGCATTTGCTCACCTCAATTTAAACAAAATCAGGGCCCCAGACCATGTGGGTGAACATGGGGTCTTAGTGATTATTTCAAAAGACATTCCTGGTTATTAAGTTTGTACCTCATTCTATTCTTTTTTTTTTTTTTTTTTTTTCATGCCCCTTCCTCCCTCCCCCTCCCCCCAACACACACACACACACACACACACACACACACACACACTTCTCAAATCACACAGCCTATCTATATGTTTCTTAAAATGGTCCCTGGACCATCCAGCTCGACTGGATGATGGATCCAGTCCATCCATACTGGATAATGGATTATTTCCTCTTTTTGGCTTTCTTTTCAACTCACACAACTGTTCCCCACCACCCACCTTTCAGAATTAGTACACATTTTAATGCCTCTCAATTTTCATTTTATAACCTATGACTTGTCAGAGGGACAATCCCTTATGCTTTTCCAGAGCCACCTTTACCAATTCTCATCAGACATACCTCATGGTGTACAATTAACAATACTGTTCATGTTATGTAATTACACAAACCACCTTCCTTCTGTGCTGACGCAATATCAGACATGTCCGGAGCCTGCCGAACCTCCAGATTTCCTTCCTGCCTGTGGGTTTACAACTGTCATTACCAGGAGAGAAGAAACTTACATCTGCCTCAGATTCAGGGTCAGTTTCCTGGGGCCCTTGTTCTTGAGGTCCATGTCCATTTTCTGGGTCCTCTTCTGCCTCATCTTGGTGCTGGTTGTCCCTCTCATAGGCTGATAAGTCAAAACAACAAACATCAGCCAGGTTGTTATGCCCAGATTTTGAGTTTTCCAAAGACCACCAAGGAGCTGATTCCCATGCAAAGCACATGAGGGTCTTTATTGCAAGCTCGAGCCTGAGCTCTCAGCATGCACTGATACAGCAGCCAAAGTTGAGAGCCCTGAGCTCAGGGAAGGCAGGGTTTTTATTACAGAAGAGGGGAATTTAAACTCAGCAGAAAGGAATTTTAGCTCAGCAGTATATTGATTAGTTGATATTGAGCAAAGTAATTTTGTCTTAACCCAGTTGGTTTATGCATGTAAGATGTGACCTTCTCTACTCAGCCCGCATACCTTAGGACATCTGGCATTTTCCTGATATGTACTGGTTACTTGCCTACTTGCTAATTGGCTGTTGCTATGGGATGAGCAAGATTAGGACATTTACAGTTAAACTCGGCCTTGGCACCCTGTTGATAACTGAAACTTAGGCCTGGCTGGTTCAGAAGCATTCTGAAGCCTGTAATGGTGTCAGTTTGGTCTTTCAAGGTGAACCAAACAGGGCTCTTCCCTTTCAATACCAAGAAAATTCCATTTCATCCAGCCTCTCCTCTAGTGAAGTTAACTCAACATAGGATGCAGGTCTCAACTTTTCATAATAAAACTATTTCCTTTTCTTTTGTCTGTGAAAGTTATGTCTAAGGTCAGTGGGAAAGTGACACCGTTCAAACTCTAAAACAAATATTTATGCAAGAAACTGTGACCCACCCCCATCCACAAACAATAATGACAATTAAAACTTTCTCAGGAAAATAAGATCCAGTCAACCAGGCCTTAAATAAATAATTGCTAAAATTATTAACTATTTTTTGGTAATATCAAAGAAAATAGTAAAGAATTGATAACATTTCAGGAAATGGATGAAATGACAACCCCTGTTGTGAGATCAAAACCAAACACAGCCAACTCTGTGTCTCTGGTATGGTGATGACAGGGACAGTTGCACACAGGCACTTAGCTGCTCATATACTCACCTGTGTGCTTCATAAAAAAATACATATTTTAATAGAGAATTCAGATAAGAACAAACAGAGAAGGAAAAATAAATTTTATAAAAATAAGCAGGGAGAAAACCTAAGTATATAGAGAATATTTAGCCTATAGAAAGTAAAAACATTGGCTAGCTTGCCATTAGGTTTCCAGTACACTCAGGAATTTACTCAACAAAGAAGGGGTTTTACTGATAATGGAACAAAAAAGTTGAAGATGCAGCATGCAGGGACATGAGGGAAACAACTCCTTGCCTACAAGGGCTATAGGATACAGAATAGGATATGAATGGGGGAATCTATGTCTGAGTGCAGAGAGATGGTTATTTTCTACTGTTATCACAGTAAGCAGGATTTATTAGTTATATACTAGATGTTCACTATAATTGAAAGCTACTACTTAATCTGGAAAACTCTCAGGCCATGATCCAAAGGCCCCTAAGGTAAGGAGAAAATGTAGAAATTTTCCTCAACATAAAAGTGCTATGATGATGTATAGTTGGTATAGAAAATGGTTAAACTGGGAAAAATGTAAAAGGAAAAATAAAACATGCTGTCTACGGCAATTGTGGTTACAAATGTGCACTATTTGGGAGTATTAAGAAAAATACAATAACAACAGCAAAAGATAAATAGTACACAGAATGTTTTGGATATACTCAGATGTGTGCAACTCCGAGTTGCTGTCATATAATACCAAGCAATTTGTCTTTAAAAATGTGTCATCAGGCCCTCCCTGGTGGTGCAGTGGGTTAAAGCACAGTATTGAGAATCTAAAGCCGCTTCTGCATGAGTTCGATTCCCGCCTGCCCTGGAGATGACCACATGGCATGGCAGACCTCTCCTGACCCACCCGCTGCTCCCCTCAGCAGTGTACTTCGTCCATCTGCCTGTTCTGTTCCCCACTCTGTCTCTGGTGAAGCCTCTCACCGCCCCTGAGCCTCTGGCCTGTACCCCAGTTCTGTATGCACAAATAAATAAATCTTAATAAAAAAAAAAAAATGTGTCATCAAAGAAATCTCACCCCCGCCTTCCTCTTCTTGGATGCCCTGGTCCTCTGCTCCCTGAACAATATCATTGTCCATCGCATCATAATGAGCTTGCTGCCTGCAAGGTACACAATTATTACAATTCAGTGACACAAATAAATGGCACAATTGGCATGGTATTTATCTTTGAAAATAAACAAATTTAGAAAAATAAGCAGATTTTTCAGCATTTTTAGAAATGACATAAAATGTGTTTGTTTGTTTTAATGAATGCAATTAAGTATAATAAAGATTCCAGATATGGTTTCCAAAGATATCCTTAAAAAGATAGCACAACTTTCAAATGATAAAGGCAGCATAAAAACCTGCTGCTAGGTAATTTTAAGATCAGAAAACAAACAAACAAAAAATTTAAGTAATTACTTGAAAGTTAATTCTCAAAAAGTTGTTCTTTTTCAACTACAAAAGCAATATGAATTCCTCAAGTTCATGGGTAATAAATACAAGAAACAGTTTTTAACATGCTTATAGAAAAACAGAAAACAGGCTATCCACACCGGTAGGGGAAGAGGCAGGGGAAGACTACCTTAGCTTGTCAGGATGCTGCGGGGGCCCCGCCTCGTGCCCTGCCTGTCTCTGCTGGAACATCTCTCTGGCGAGAAGCTGCTGCTGCTGCTGCTGCTGCCTCTGTCTCAGCAAGTGTCCCTGCAGTCTCTGCTGGTGCAGAGCCTCCTGCTGCTCTCTCAGCCTCTGGGCCTCCTCAGCCTGCCTCAATGCCAGTTTTTGCTGTTCCAACTGCTCCTCATACGGTGATAGGTGTTTGGTGATGGGCTTGGCTGAAGGATACATCTGGGGAAAAAGCAGCTGGGTGAGCAAGAACAGTCAGGACCTCTGGGTTGGCCCCTTTCATGATAAACTCAGGAGGCAGGGTTTATTTATTGATACCGATCCTATCGGTGGACTGTGATTATACCTTAGGGCCAAGGTTACACAGCCTGGAGTTCCTATTTCTCAACTCATTCTGAATTATCCTGGATCCTTCCGAACTGCTGGCATTAATAAGGCAGATTTTCAGTGTGCTCCCTTGAAAATGGAAGATGGTGCAACAGAAAAAAACCACTTTCAAATTTTAATTAAATTTAGGTTCAAGTTTAATGAGTACTTGATAACCTCACATTAATTGGTGTGTTTGTGAGCTAATGGTGAGCCTAAGGTTTTCTCATGTAGCCTTAAAGACCTAGGAATACGCAGTCTAGGCAAAACCAAAAAATAAGAATGAAAAAAAAAAAGTTGCATTCAGATTATGATGGAAACACAGTTTCTTCTAGGAGATATAAGAACCGGTGAGAAGAAAGTACCTCTTGATTAAAGAATAACTTGATAAAGGAATTCTTAAACTCTGCTTTTCTACCACCCCAACACAAATATACACAATTCTTCCCAGAGGAAAGAGAAAGCATAGTGGAGGGGACTTAACCCTAGTAGGGAATCACTACTGAAGAGAGCCATGAAGGTCACAAGATTGTAGCTCCTCAAAGCTCAGTTCACAACCACGTAACAGTGTCACCTTTACTCATACCCAGCTTAAAGCCTTAAGCAAGCTGAAGTCTTGGAAAGTTTAAGGCCAAACAAAAGTTCAGATTTACAAAAAACTTTACATCTATGTATGGTAATGCATTCTTTGGTATCATCTTAGATACCACAGTGGAAAGGTCCTGGTTGCATACAGCATTTCTTTAAAATTCTTTTAAAGTGTCATTTTTAGGGGACTCCCTGGTGGTGCAAGGGTTTAAGTCTCAGCACTATGAAGCTATCAGGAACCACTGCAGCATGAGATCCCTGGCCAGAGAGCTGGCCACAGGGTGCAGCAGACCTCTGCTGTCTCACCTGCTGCTCCCCTCAGCAGTGTATTTCAGTAGATTTGCCTGTTCTGTTCCCTGCTTTGTGTCTGCTGACTCTTCTCACCCCCGTGTCTCTGGCCTACAACCCAGCTCTAATATAAATAAAGTAAATCTGTTTTAAAAAAGTTTCATTTGTAGTAATTATAATGGATATGTTTTACTGTATGTGAGAAAGGAGTGATCAGTGAACAGAGAGATTGATTAAACTCACTTAACCTAGTGGAGTAGCCATAAGTGGTTAAGATTAGGTTTTTGATAATGTACTATCCACCTTGAAGGTAAATAGCAAGAAACAATGTACAATACAATGGTACAGCTGACCCTTGTACAACCTCTCTTGTCCACTTACAGTTTTTTTTTTCTTCATTATTATTATTTTTTTAATCCTGGAATCTAAATTCATCAGATAAACCAACTGGGGATGTCTGTCAGTTGAATTCACAGATGTGGAGCTGTAAGTACTGGAAGAGGGACAGTAAGTTATATACATGTTTTTCAATTTTTAAATGTGTATGTGTCTATGCTTCTAGCCCCTGCATTGTTCTAGGGTCAAATGAAAATGAACAGGAGAGGGAACTTCTGATAGCATAGAAGGGACTTTTTACTCTGCCTCAAATGCCCATAGGGGCTTGAGGATATCCTAGGAAGACAATCAAGGATGTAGCGCTCATCTGTGCTTTTCTGTTACAGAAGATATAAGCATGATCCCCTTACTATGCACTTTTTGACAAAGACAATCCACACACATAAACTAGCAGCTCTTGCTGTTCCTTAATCATCTTTCTGAGGCATCCAAGTAGCTCTGTTAACATTGTAACAGAAAACTAAAATGTGTGAATGTAACATTGAGGGAAGTCACTAGATTTTTTTTTTATTTTAGAGATGGTCCTATAAGGAGAAGCTTCCTTAGTATTTAGAAATAAAGCTACACTCTTTACCACAGCCCATAAAACAATCCCAGGAGACTTGAAGATGACCTCATACCTTAGCATGAGCGTGTCCTTCCAGAAGGCTGTTGGCTGCTTTTGGTTGATGTTGTTCCCTCCACTCCCGTTCTTGTTCCTCTGGTGATGGGTCATGCTCTTCCTCCAGGTGCTCCGCTTGGCCAACCTGCTCCATGGCCTCTTCCTCCAGGGCCTTTCTATGCTCCTCTTCTACTTGGTGCTCCTCTGGCTCTATGGCATCTGCTTCTTGCTGGTGCAGCTCTGCTGGAGCCTGAAATTCTGCCTCCGTTGGGGTGGGAGGATAAGGTTTTCTTTCTTCTATTCTTTCGGGAACTGCTTCATGCTTCTCCCACACATCACTATTTCGAGACACCTAGGCCAAGCACATCACTGGAAATGACACTCTTCTATTTTGAAAGTATATAATACTTTATTTCTTTATTACCATGTCTGTGGGGTTACAACACAAGCAACATTCTGGAATCTAGAAATACAGAGTCCTGACTGAAAAGTCTGGCTGCAATGGAGTCACTTAACTCTTCTCACTGTGTAATCTCACCTATAAAATAGAGATAAACAAAATCTCATCTCGGAAAGGATAAAGTAAATAACCTAAAAGAAGAGAGTATAAAGGATCTCACCTTAGTAGTCTTCCCTCAAAGCAATCTAACATTATTTTATTTAATAAAAAGGAAAAAAAAATCTCAAACTTCAAGTGATGAAATGTTTACACAATTTTCCTCAGTGTAGATTTTGTTTAAAATAATTATTTGAAAAGAGAAAGGTAAGATCAAATTCAAGAGTAAGCGGACTTAACATTTTTAATGAATTATTTTCCTACAGTGTAGCTCTTTTTAGACAGTATTTGACATCTCCCCTTAGTGAGTGCCCACAGCACCACAGCACCGTCACCATCACCACAGTCCCTGTGCTCTTCCTGCCTCTGTCCTGACTCCTCCCTGTTGTAGCCTCAGCTCCATGGGCAGCTTGCTATTTCTGACATTTCCTGACCCTTTGACCAGTTTTTCTATATCCCATATAGAAATGAAGCCAAGAGTTAGTTAATTTTTTTCTTATTAGATAATACCCCCCAAAATAATCCCAATAGTAATGGGCATCTATAATAGCTGAAACAGTACCCACCAGAACAGATACACCAAAACATCATTATTTATTATTTATGAGCAATTCAGAGGAAACTTTTTATAAATATTGTTGACATTGTTGATGGAAAAATCTGAATAAAAAAAAGCATGTATTTCCATAGAAAAATTTTCTAATCCTGATTGATTTAAATCAATTATCCCTAATAGATTCACTCACTTATATGTGATTATATTGAGGGGTCTGGAGCAAATGCCTAGCACTGTTGCCTCTTCCTGTGTCCTATTTTTTTTTTTTGAATTATCAAAAACTTGTCCATTTATTTTACTGGACCTCAAATTATATATTCAGCAAATATTACAATCTATGGAGAATACCCATACACAATGCTCTGTAATGATTCATAACACCTATTAATATAGGTAGGTACAATTTAAAATACAGTTTGTGCTGATGTCAAAATTGTATATTTTAACTAAAAAGAAAAGGAAAAGAAGGAAATTGAAGACAACATACTAAAATATATGTCTAATTTACTCTCATTCTAAAATTTTGATGAGTTATTTGAAAGTGCATTAAAATATATACGTCCTGGCTCTCCCTGGTGGTGCAACAGGTTAAAGCACTGCACTAAGAAGCTGAAACCACTTCCACATGAGTTCGATTCCTGTCTGCCCCGGAGGTGACCACATGGCGTGGCAGACCTCTCCTGACCCACCCGCTGCTCCCCTCAGCAGTGTAGTTTGTCCATCTGCCTGTTCTGCTCCCCACTCTGTCTCTGGTGAAGTCTTTTGCCACCCCTGAGTCTCTGGCCTGTACCCCAGTCCTGTATGCACAAATAAATAAATCTTTATTTATTATTTATTTATTTTTTATTTATTTATTATTTATTATTGCCCTACTTTAGTGAATATTTGAAAAACTTTATAGTCACACTAAAACATTACTGATGGACTTATATAAGGTGAGTGTTATAGCCTATAAGTTTTTTTTTTTTTTTTTTAAAGATTTATTCATTTGTGCATACAGAACTGGAGTACAGGCCAGAGGCTCAGGGGCGGCGAGAGGCTTCACCAGAGACAGAGTAGGGAGCAGAACAGGCAGATCGACGAAGTACACTGCTGAGTGGAGCAGCGGGCGGGTCAGGAGAGGTCTGCCACGCCATGTGGTCACCTCCGGGGCAGGCGGGAATTGAACTCATGCGGAAGCGGCTTTAGATTCTCAGTGCTGTGCTTTAACCCGCTGCGCCACCAGGGAGGGCCAATAGCCTATAAGTTTTAAGTGGATTTTTTTTTAATGTTTATTTTATATCTAAGCATACAAGAACTGTGGAAGGTGAGAGGATTCATCGAAGACAGCGGCAGGGTGAGGGGTGGGGAGCAGAACAGGCAGATTGACTGAAATCCACCGCTGAGGGGAGACAGTAGAAGTCTGTGCTCCATGTGGGTCAATTCCCTGTCTGGGGATCGAACTAGTGCTGCAGTAGCTAAGGACTGCTTCATAGTGCTGAGACTTATCCCTTGTGCCACCAGGGAGGCCCCTTGTGCTCTATTTCTTCACATAACAGGTTAAAAAAAAAACATTTAAATAGCTGTCGTGACCTCATCTTCTCTGTTTCCCTGTTCTTAATGAATCAGCTCAAGTCCTGTCTGAGTTAGTTACCATCACATGCCTTCAAATCACTGCACATAAATTTATTCAGGTTTTACATATTTCAGAGCTTTTTGGTTGTTGGTGGTGGTCTTACTACAGTTTATCTTTTTTTAATTGTCTCTACCAAACCACCTGTTCCCATATCCCATCTGCCTCCATGGCCCTTATCTTTCACCCATTCCCCTTTTTTCCTTTATATTATCTTTTTTTTTTTTTTTGCCACGTTCATATTTTTATTTCTTCTATTGTTTGCATGTAATTGTTTTTGGTTATTTATATTCTGTAGATAAGTGAAACCATCTGCAATCTGTCTTTCATTGTTTGGCTGATTTCACTCGACATAATCACCCCCAAGATCCATCCATTTTGTGCTATAGGCCACTGTTTCATCTTTCTGCACACCTGCATAATATTTAATTGAATAGATATGTTTCACACTTTCTCCATTCACCTGTTGAAGGGCACATAGGTTGATCCCATGATCTGGCAGTTATAAAGAGTACTGTTATGTACACATATATAGCTAGATTTTTTCCTATTAAATCTTTCATGTTATTTGTATAAATACATTATGGCAGTATTGCTGGCTCAAAAGAGATGTCCACTTCTATTTTCTTCAGACATCTCTATATCATTTCCCACAAGGGTGGTACCAATCACATTCCCACCAATACAGAAGGAGAGTTCCTTTTACATCACAACCTGGTCAACATTTGTTAATTCCATTCATTTGTATATGACCTTTCTCTTAGGGGCGAGGGTAATATCTCAGTGTTGTTTTAATTTGTATTTCTCATCCATTAAGTGACACTGAACATTGTTTCATATGTGTGTAGACCATCTGAAAGTCTACTTTAGAGATCTGTCTATTGAAGTTCACTGTCCATTTTTTTTTTTTAATTGGGTCATTTGTTTCTTCGTTGTTGGACTGGGCAAATAATTTTGTAAATTTCTCAGATTAACCCCTTATCAGATATATGGTATACAAATAATTTTTTCCCCATTCTGAAGGTTGCCTATTTATTTTTGTAATGACTTCTGTTGTTTTGAATTACAAAAGCTTTTAAGCTTAATCTAGTCCTACTTGTTTATTTTGTTTTTGCTTCCCTTGCTGCTGGGGTTGTATTTCCAAATACCTCTTTGTAGTAGATGTACTGTAGTGTGTCCTCTGTATGTTCTTTCAAATACTTTATGACTTTGGTTCTTTTGTGCAAATCTTTAATCAATTTTGAGTGACTTTTCCTGTAAGGTGTTAAATATGGAGCTTGCTTGATGATTGTGCATCTGGCTGTCCATGTTTACTAGCACTATCCATTAAAAAGGCTGTCTTTTCTCCACAGTGAGGTCTTAATTTCTTTATTGAAAATTAGCTGTCCATATCTCCATGGACGTATCTCTAGGCTTTCAATTCTGTCCCACTGATCTAACCTTCTGTTTTTCCTCTAGTACCATGCTATTTTCCTTAAAGTTGCTGCGTACTATTGCTTAAAGTCAGAATGTGTGATGCCTCCATTTTTCTTCTTTAGATTTTGTTAGCTATTTGGGCTTTTTGTGCTTGCATATAGATTTGATAATTGTTGATCTATTTATTTTCTAACAAAAGAAGTCACTGGTATTGTGATAGGCATTGCATTAAACCTTTAAATTGATTTTGATAAGATGGCATATGTGTGTGTGTGCGTCTTCACTAATAAAAGAGGAGTGAAAAAAATGATGATATAATATCAAAAGTAAATAAACCATGGAGATTAGTCTTATCACAGACATCAGGGGACAATGTTTAGTTGGGCACATTTTAGCAATGTTGCTGCATACCTGGCAAGTTTGACAGCCCTGGCTTTGTAAGAAATCAATATTTCATTGAAGAGCCCTGAGAATTTTCAAACACCTGTCATTTATATCCACAGTATCCCTCTAAACAGTTTAGAGCAGTTAACTGCTATCTGTACTTCACAGGTGGAAAACCTGTCGTTCTGAGTCATCGAAAGATTAATCCATGGAACAGGCAACCGAACTAGGATAAAGAATAGAACCAATTCCTGGGTCATGAATTTGGCTGTGTAATCTTAAGTTAGTGATAATGCAGGACCCAGAGTCCATGATGACACAAAACCCATCTATGAAGGCACTCTGCACTAAAGCAGGACTCATAAGAAGTCCACTCAGGCCAACTTAATTATTCCCCTGAGATGGAAACCAGGGCAAGTTTTAAATATTCACTATTCAAAACAATTTTGTCAGAGGGTATGATGCCATGTTTCAATTTCTATTACACATGCAACTGCAAAAACAGCTTCGTAAGAATTAATGATGGGGTAACACTAGTTTTAATGTTCCACTAAGGAGATATCTTAAGCATGTTTAATTTTAATGAAGGATAGAATACAAAAAAGTACATTATGATATGGTACTCATAACCTTGGTAGTTTCAGTAAGGCCTTTGAAAGCACTGTATCCGCTTCAAATATGTTATCAACCTTACTCCTTGAGTGGGCTGGTTTCACAAAATAGCCTCATGATCATTAACCTTCTCAGTATACCCCCAAAAGGAAAACAAAACAAAACAACCCTTAAAAACTCAGATACAACAGGGGTTGACTGCAGCGCCTTTAAACAAAGAAATCCACATGAATAAAGACAGTATTTCACAGAGAATACTACAGAAGTTTTTAAAGTATGCTCCCCAGACTAGCTAATTCACTTTAAATGCAATATCTCAGCCCCCCCCCCCCAAATTAACTGAATAAAAATCTCTAGACTGGGGCCAAAGAATCTGTACTTACAGCCCTGCTGGAGACACTGATATACACGTAAATTTGAGAAACACTGTTCTACAAGGAAAGTTGGAAACATTTAGAGTGGTTCACCTGATGACAGCTTGACAGGCACAGTGACCTGACCGTAGAGCCCCAATTCACGCAGCTTACCTCTTGTGGCTCTAGGGGTGGCTTCTCATGTGCTGCTCTGTCACTTTGTGGAGAATGTGCCAGCTGGGTAACATTCTGCTGCTCTGATTGATCTGGTCTCCGAAAGCTTGGAATCTTATTCAGAGTATCTTTCAGTTGTTTATATTCTGCAACTTGAGTCTGCATATAAATTGCACAATTGGATGCACATTGCACAATTTGAAGAAAGGAAAAAGATATCATTCATAAATGGGCACTAGGGCTCACAAGAATATTAGACAAAAATATTACACTTAAACATAAGTTAGTAAAAATAGGCAGATTGCTACCATGCTAGTTTTTGTTTTTTTTCTTTTTAACTTGCACATGCTTAACCATTTTAAAGCTCATGCAAAATAGAATTAAAGGGAACAGAGAAAAAATATCTAAGATGTTAGTTTCTCATGCTACATTAAACAAAGTCAGAATTTTCATAATTTCTAGTATAAATGTCAATATTAAAATTTTAAGAAAGTTATACAATCAGAATTATAGCAACAAAATCTATTAAAAATTCACACAATAATACAAATACAGGTACAAATATCTTTTGCCAATATGGTTCAAGTGACATTTTCAGTTAAGGATTCATAGATTAAAAAAATATATATTGCTACTGTGTTAATTATATAGATATATAACTCAGGCCACTCTCTTTTCCCAGTCAACTTGTGCTCAAATGGGGACTTTGATTTGCTAGAGTGCCTTTGGTATTGCTGCTCTGCAGATTTTGGAAAGCAATGGAAGTAATGAAATGAGACTAAGTTTTTATTTCTGAGTTCAGAATGTCTCTTCTAATGTGATAAAGGAGTTAACACAATTACGGGTCTCTGAGATACTCACATAGGTGTATCTGTGTATGCGGTGGAATGTGTGTCTCTTTGTATGTGTTTGTGCATGTGACATTTTAATTAAATAACTTGAAAGCAGAGAAAAAGAAAGTATGTTAACTAAGAGAATCAATGCACATAGTATGTGCTCGTTCATTATTATGTTATTGAACAAAATTGCTGAAGCATAGCACACACTTACAGAAACACATACAAAGAACATAGACATCTTTTGTCCACAAGTTTTCCATATAAGCCCACCTTCCTCAGTCACATGGCAGAGAGGGCAAGAGAGGGTAGACCCAGCAGGCGCTCCCATCACAACAGCCACACACCCTGCATGGTGACTTACACCCCAGGGAAGAGGCATCTTTTTGCCTTTTTCTAATTCACAGAAAGTTGAAGAAGTCTGCTTGCTGAATCTGTTTGAGCAGAGTGCTTATTTGTAATTTGAACAAAGGTGTACCACATGCTTAAGAGTGACCCTTATCCCAGAAGTTGATCAAAACAGTTGCAAACCAACTTTGGCGGTGAAGAAAAATTACATTTACATATTAATGATTTTAATATTTTAAAATATGGAGGACACATAACCTCAATTCTAGACTTTCTTCTTTAGCCTTCTAAATATATTACTTTAACAGTTAGTAGTGCTATGGTTTGTTGTTCTCAAATATCAGTGTGCATAGAGATGAGCAGACTGAGTTAAAATGTAGGTACTTGGGCCCTCCCTAGTGGCACAGTGGGTTAAAGTACAGCACTATGAAACTAGACACAGCCACCTCAGCGAAAGTTCCATACCTGCCAGGGAGCTGACCCACATGGCGCAGCAGACCTCTCCTGTCTTGCCCACTGTTCCCCTTAGCAGTGTACTTCATCAATCTGCCTGTTTTGCTCCCCACTCTTTCTGGTAAGTCCTCTCAGTGCCCCCTGTGCCTCTGGCCTAAACCCCAGTTCTGTATTCATAAATAAATAAATAAATCTTTTTTTTTTTTTTTAAGATTTATTTATTTGTGCATACAGAACTGGGGTACAGGCCAGAGGCTCAGGGGCGGCGAGAGGCTTCACCAGAGACAGAGTGGGGAGCAGAACAGGCAGATGGACGAAGTACACTGCTGAGGGGAGCAGCGGGCGGGTCAGGAGAGGTCTGCCACGCCATGTGGTCACCTCCGGGGCAGGCGGGAATCGAACTCATGCGGAAGCGGCTTTAGATTCTCAGAGCAGTGCTTTAACCCGCTGCGCCACCAGGGAGGGCCTTTTTTTTTTTTAATGTAGGTACTTGGGCCCACACTCTAGGAATTAGGACCTAGTAAGTCTGAAGCAAGACTCATAACTGTGATTCAGGGAAGTCTCAAAAATCACAGGTTCCAGAGTTAAGTGTGCCTTTGGTGCCAGGAGATGAACGAAACTTCCCTTAGTTCTGGTCGCACATCTTGGATCAGCTGCTCTATTTCCCTTTGACCTTTAGAACAATTTCTTTCTTTCTTTCCTTTTTTTTAAAGATTTATTTATTTGTGCATACAGAATTGGGGTACAGTCCAGAGGCTCAGGGGCAGTGAGAGGCTTCACCAGAGACAGAGCGGGGAGCAGAACAGGCAGATCTATGAAGTACACTGCTGAGGGGAGCAGCAGGCAGGTCAGGAGAGGTCTGCCACACTATGTGGTCACCTCTGGGGCAGGCGGGAATCGAACTCATGCAGAGGTAGCTTTTAGCTTCTTAGTGTGGTGCTTTAATCCGCTGCGCCACCAGGGAGGGCCTAGAACAATTAATTTCTAAAAGGAGATGATGCCCTATGGCTCACCTGGTTGAGAATACCAAAAAATAAATAAAAGTTCTTTACATAAAGTTGTTAAAATTGTAAATATTCAGATTCTGTTCTATTTTCACTTCCTCCCAACCTCTCATATAGTTCAAAGTCAGGTTGTGAACACAGAATCTCATCAGATGGTTTGCATGAGAAAGGTGAATGCTTGCAGTAACATCAAGGAGAGCAGGACAGTTTTAACATGGGGGCAGCTGTTCAGTTCTTGTTAAGTATCATCTAGTTCTGGTAACTATCAAAAAGGGCGAAAATGGCAGCTCACACAGGAAGCCAAAGGATATTTCAAAAAACAAGTTATGCATAGAAATTATGCTAGAGAATTTGATTTGGACCATTAAATGAACTATTTAATGTATACTTCTCTGGATTCTTGGATTGTTAGAATCTAATAATCTAATATGTATGAACACTGTACTGCACAGAGTATTCAAATCAGTTCATAACATATTTCAGTATGAAAAACAATGTCATATAAGTAATAGATATAGGCAAAATACTTGACAAGCATTTTATATAGAAGGTTTAGAATAAAATAATCTCAAAAGTAAAGTTAATTCATACTCATCTAAAAGTAACTATGCAACTATAGTTTCAGAGGGAGATACCCAAGTGACGACTACTTGGAAAGGAACCTCACAGACACAGATGCCAATGTTGCCAGGACAGAACAAGGTCTATCACACTGTACTTTTAATGATTTTATAAATGCCAAAATAATTCATAGCCTCCTGATTAAGTACCGGTAGTTTTTATTGTTCCTTTTTCTTAATTCTACCAAGAGAAGTGAAACTCTTGTGACAAGGAACACATCCCAAGCTAGCAATCCCAATATTTTTCCTACTATAAAGGCTGTAAAATATAAAGCATAGTATTGTGTTAATAAGATCTCCCACACTTACACCTGCTTGTTTCTTCATTCAGTAACTATTCACTGAGGCCTGCCATATGTCAAGGACCATTCTAGACTTTGAACAAATAGAGCTTAGGATTCCTGTTTCTACTTCTCCAGTGAAGTGAACTCTCTTCTTATTTTCTTTAATTTGACCAACAATACTTAAATGTAGTCCTGAGAGGAATGAATGCAGACTGGAATTCTGGGAGCAAGAAAGGATGGAAGTAAAAGCTCACATCATAAAATCCTGTATTTCCTACAGCAAGAATCATCACAAGTGAGAGAGCAGCAAAAGCCCAGATAGGCGAGATTTCTGTGATTTAAACTATTAGACTTCTGCATGTAGGGGGCTAGTGCGGGGTAGAAAGAGTCGTGCACATCCTATTACCTAGTGTTCTCTTGACTGAATTTTGAAAGCATGCACAGATCTCAGGATCGGGATAGCTCTGTCCTAAGAAGCTCACTGAAGATTGGCTTGTGAGACACTACATGCAAAAAGGAATTCAGAAGTGTTAAGCAGACTTTAGAAAGAACCAGCAGAGGCCGCTACCCTTCTAACCTGTGCAGCAGCTAGTGCACTCTTGTGGTCTTCCAAAGTCACTACAAGTTGTTCATGTTCGGAGAGTAAATTCTTATGCTGTTGCTACACAAAAAAGAATTTTACATGTTGAGTTTTAACATTCTAACATAAATTCTTCTTTGGCTGACAGTGGTATAACCATCCAACATGCTGCTTGCTTTTTTGTTGTTGCAGCATTTGCTAAGATTGAAAAGCACTGTAGCAAGAAGGCTATGAGTAAAGTAGTAATCTCAAATCCAAAATCCTCATTCTAATGAAATCAAGGCAAAGGAACAGATACTTCAACGATAATAGGCCTTCTAGGGCAAAAAGCTTATTAAAATGGAACTATCTACTAAATGAATCATTTCAATACTAATAAAATATTTGGATTTTCAGACCATCTTTGGTCTTGGCTAAGATATTACATATACTCTAGTTTAAGCATATAATACACTCATCTTGGCAAAATATTACATACACTCTAATTTAAGCAAAGCCCAAAATGACAATGTAAATTTGTGAATATGGCCAATCAGAATGATGTTTAGTTTTTCTACAAGATAAAGCAGAGTAACACTAGCCAGGAAAATGTCTGGTTTCACTTTACCTTGACATCTTGAAGCTGCGTATGTATGTCTTGGTGTGCTTTCCTTAGCTGTCGATTCTCTTCCCTCAAATTGTATACAGTTTCTATTATAAAAAAGAAAATTCCATATAAAGACTTGAGATTTTCGGGTTTTATTTTGTTATTTTCACATCTAAAGTCCAAAGTAAACTGTTTTAGGATTTGTTTTAAGCTATGACAGGACACCAAGCCAAGAAAAATTATTAAGTTTGGTGATGGGCATGGATTCACTGGACATCACAATAAATTCTGGTTCAGCAGTTCAAGTTAGTTTTATCAAGGATCACTCAAACAAAAGTGTTGACATGAAACTCACTTAGTAAAGTATCAAAGGTATTGTCCCACTGTGTTAAGGTCTTTTGAGAAATTTCTTCTAAAAATTGATTTGTAATACAAGTACTGTATATAAGTTATCTTTATACATAGAATCTCGATCTCTCTATCCTTTATTTTCTTTCTCTTATTCTTCTTTTATATTTGTGACCTCTGCTTGAATCTCAAGGTGTGCGTATATTCTCACAAGCACTGTATACTTAATTGTATTTCTCCTTTTATCCAGAGTGTCAGTTTTTTTTTTTAATTAAAGATTAATTTTATTCATGTATGCATACAAGAACTGGGGTGTAGGCCAGAGCTATGGGGCTGAGAAGATTCACCAAAGTCAGAGTGGACAGCAGAACAGGCAGATCTACTGAAATACACTGCTCATGAGACAGCAGAGGCCTGCTGTGCCATGTGGGTCAGCTCCCTAGCTGGGGATCAAACTCATACAGCAGTGGCTGTGGATAGCTTGATAGAGCTAAGACTTTAACTCCTTCACCACCAAGGAGGTCCAATGCCAGGATGTTTAGACCAGCATATGAGGCTTGAATTTTCTCAGAACACAGAACTCACACATATGTGTACTATTTTCCATGGTTTTTATTCCTCACTTTTCTAGTGATTTTCATGTGCTTTTTTGCTAAAATCATTTGGGGGAAAAAGTACACAGAAATCTAAAGTCCCCATAACCCACCTTCTCTTAGGGAAGAAATATGAAATCTGCATACATGCAATGTGATACATCCAAACCAGGAAACTGTTTAGCAGAATACAATTAACTAGACTACAGAGCTTACTCAGATTTCATCACTGTTTTTACAATCACTGGGTGTCTTTTAAAACTAATTTTTCTCCTTCGAATGTATTTAGCACCTGAAAAGATGATTGTAAAATACCTATTTCCCTTTTCCAGAAGTCACATATACTTAAAGCATGACAGGTATCTGAGCATATTACTATGCAAACATCTGGTGCTGGTGTAGATGGCAGTTACTTTACATTAAAGATTTACCACAGACCACTAAATATTCTAGGTACTTTACATAAATTATTTAACCCTCATACCAACCCTGCAGCTTGATAACTTGTATGATTATCTCAGTTTTATAGATGAGTCTGCATTAATTACACAATTTATCAATTTCTCAAGGATCACAAAACAAGCAACTGAAGAACAGCCAGTAACTGGGCAGTGACTACAGAGCAGGTACTTTTCGAGGCTGCTCTTAACAAGTAGCACGGAGTCTTTCTGCACCCTTGGAAATTTAAGAAATGCCTGGGGAAACTGTCCAAATGCCTAGGGGACAGTACTGCCATTTTGAGGGAACAGGTCAGACATACTAAATGTCTCCATCACATATGAAAAATGAAGTGCCTTGCCCAACATGGCCAATGCACCCCATTGAAAAATACAAGTATTTCACTCAGATTCACTAGACAAACCCAAAGAGTTACAGAGATATAAGTGGCTGATAACAGACCACATGGTAAGTGTAGACCAATCATTATGCAAAAAGAAAAAAAAAACAAGTCTACTCTTCTACTAAATGTAGTTATGAGTCATATTTCCATATAAACTGGCTGATAAGATTTCCAAATACCTTTTAACTTAGAAAGTTCTTGTTCTTTCTCTTGCTGCAGCTGCAAGTATTTCTGTTTATGGTCATTAAATGTCCTACTGAAGTCTTCTCCTTGCTTACGGTGTTCTTCTTCTAAATCACTGTGCTGTTTCTTGAGCTCCTCATGTTGACTCTGCAAAGATGAAATTTGAGTGGTGATTTACAGTCTCCAAATGTTATAAAAGTATATTTTTTTTAAATAGCAGAGCCTGTCTCTTGAAAAAAATCAGGAACAAGTGAAGAAGTAGGCTTCCTTTTCCTCAAGTTGCTTTTAATTCATGTAGTTCCTCTCTACTTTCCTTACATTCAATGAATAGTTTGGGATCAGAGCCAAAAATAACATTCTCCTTAGATTCTAACATCAAGTGAACAACAAGAAATTAGAACTTAGCATGAAAGATGTAAAAGGGGGCTACTGGGAACATTCCCAAGGATTGACATTACTGGAAACTAGGTAAAGCTACTGGAAAAATTTGTGCCTTCCTGAGTATTCTAGACTTCCTCTTTCAATGCATTGTTTTCCCAGCACCAATTTAATTTCCTTTCTTTGGTTTCTATTCTTCCTAATAATCAAGTTTAGTGAAGGAGTAGAAAAGATGCTTTTCTCATTAGGGGACTAATCAATCAATGGGTTAGAAAACAAGTCTATTTATCTTGCCACTAATTATAATATTATGCTGTACTCACCACTTTGGTAAAATCTATGGCTTCCGGGGCCCTCCCTCGTGGTGCAGCGGGTTAAAGCACTGCACTAAGAAGCTAAAGCCACTTCCGCATGAGTTCGATTCCCGCCTGCCCCGGAGGTGACCACATGGCGTGGGCAGACCCCTCCTAACCCGCCCGCTGCTCCCCTCAGCAGTGTATATAAAGAGCTGGGAGCTAAGGTAAGAGATCACAGCAGTTTTCCTACTGTGCCTAATGGCACAATGATACACCTTTATCTCCTAACTTGACAGACCAGTGAATCCTTCACTCCCTCTCTCTCATCTTCTTGATACACATTAATGAGTTTTGCCTAATAACACAGGAAGGAAAATCTTTATATATAAATTCCTCTACAAAAGGACACAGTCAGTAAGAAGAAGGGAGCTTTCTAGTAGACCTACTATCTCCAAAGATCCTAAGATAAAAGAAAGTATCTAAGGAGAAACACTGAGAGATATTAAATAAACAAATAGAAAGCCTTACAGAACAAAGTGAAAATGAAGTCAATAATTAGTTGACTGGAGAGTCTGATTTATAGAAAATGTGTAATGTGGTAAGGTATCTGATAAATATGATAAGACATTATAGCTACATGTCATTTCTATCTAAATATCATTTTAATATACCATAGCCCATACAAATCCATTCTCTACAAGCCTTCTTTAATCATGTATGAAACTTAATCCTTTAATTCATTCTTGAAGAACAAGCTTATGTTACTCACTTTTAGCATCTGATGTTGAACATTCAATGCACTATATCTACTATTGGAATCTTGCTGTAAATTGAAAAGAAAATAGTTAACACAACAAAATTACAGGTAATTTTTTTCTTATAATAATAGGAAGATTTGTTTTTCTCCAGTTAATATGGACAACGATTTAAATGTCAGTATCACTCATTGATACTGAGTGCTTTTAAACGCCAGCTGTAGGCCAAGTACTTAGAGCCTACACAATACTGTCTGTGCAAGTAATAGTAAAGTTGTGCAAAGACAAGCTAAAATAAATATTACATTCTACAGAGAGAATGAACAAATAAAGTAATAAAGTCTCTCTATCGGAAATTTCAGGTGGCCAAAAAAATGTATTTCAGCACTACAATTCCAATGATTAACAGAACAGAAGATCTTGTGGCTATATTTTCACTTACTTCAACTTTCAAGGAAAAAAAAAACTAAAAAAAAAACTTACCCTTCCCTTATTTAATGTTTCTTGTGCTTCTAACTTATAAACAAGAAAATCTAAGGAATACAAATTGGAGAAAAGAGAATTTAAATTAATTTATGGCGGAATAATTAACATATTTAAGAATAAGTGCACACTTTAGTCAGACTTTCAAAAAAAGGTTTAGGTTTAAAACAATCTATTTGGTTACTTGTACACTTTATTTTCTCTCTTAATGCTTTAAAAAAGTTGAAAATTATTCTATAATCTCCATTTATGCCTTAAGGTTATATATCTTGCATCAACAAAATCACACTATAACCAATTAATTAAAAGTACATTTAAAACATCACTGTGATTACTTCTCCAGCAATTAAGAAGAAAATATGAGATACAACCCAAAATAGAGATGATTTATTATAATCCACTAGGTGGCATACTAAGTCATCCAGCTTTGAATGCTCCTAAAGCTTTATTATCCACTAGATGGCCCTATAAAATCATTCTGCATTTGATGATAAGGAAATCAAAACCCATCAAAGTATTTTAATGATGTTAAGCTTTTCTTCACAGTCTTAATCCAGGGGTAGCGAAAACTTCCTAACCCAAACTGTTTCCCCTCCTTCTACACCAAACCATGGTAATCAGACAGTACAGCCAATGTAAATGTCAAGATTTAGCACAAAACATGAATAAATAAAAATAAGAATGTCAATAACATAAAATCACAAATTGTATAAAGTCTATGCTTTATAGAAAATTTTGGTAAAAAACAATTGCATTTCCTAGTACTTGGGCTAAATGTTAAATTTTTCAAACGGAATCAATTGGCTGTGCCAATAAAAGCCTTAAAAAATAAAAGTTAAATCCTCCCTATTGTTACAAGATGTTAAAGCATAGCACTATGAAGCTATCCACAGCCAAAGCAGCACAAGTTCGATTCCAGGCCAGGGAGCTGGCCCACATGTCGTAGCAGACTTCTCCTGCCTTGCTGGCTGCTCCCCTCAGCAGTGTATTTCAGAACATCTGTCTGTTCTGCTTCCCACTCTTACTCTGTCTCTGGTGAATCCACTCATCCTCTGCACCTCTAGCCTTTATGCCAATTCTATATGCATAAATAAATAAATCTTAAAAAAAATAAAAAGCAAAAGTCAACATTAATGTGATCACTTTGTTTTAAATGTATATAAGCACACATGAATATATATATATCTGCTCACAGAAGTCTTGGATATTAGTAACATCCAAATAAAAAAAATGTTTCTATATATTGAAATAATATATATATACATGTATAATATATATATATACATGTATAACCAATATATGAACTACCAATGTGGAACAAACCATATGGAAGATTAGCAGGAGTTATTTTATTACACAAAGCAAGACACATTGTCTGCACACTGTCTCTTTCTCTGCCCACCTATACAACTGACTGGGTAAATCTGAAAAATTTCTTTACAAAATAAATAAATAAATAAAGGAAGTACAGGATTCATCAAAGAACAATATAATAAAAGCATGGACATAAAAATTACATTATCTACTTACCTTCCTTTGCTTTCTTATGTTCAAGTCTTTCCTTTTGCAATGACTTCTCTAATCTTGATCTGTGTTCATATACAACTGGAAAAAAAAGTTAAAATTTGAGTACAGGGCCCTCCCTGGTGGTGCAGTGGGTTAAACCACAGCACTAAGAAACTAAAGCCACTTTCGCATGAGTTTGATCTCCGCCCCGGAGGTGACCCACATGGCGCCTGACCCGCCCACTGCTCCCCTCAGCAGTGTACTTTGTCAGTCGGCCTGTTCTGTTCCCCACTCTGTATCTAGTGAATCCTGTCACCACCGCATCACCCATGTGCCATCACCATAGTCCCGTGCATTTCCCTCCCCTGCCCCATTTTTTATCCCATTCCCCACTCCACCCCTGTAAAATGTCTCTGGTAAATAGTCGTTCATTATTCTTATTTTTCCCCCATGGTCCTTCCATGAGTGACACCATCCGGTATTTTTCTTTTTCTTACAGATCCATTTTTTTATGGGACAAGTTGCTGAACTTCTTTGAATTTGTTTCCTTACATGACATGTGGGGATAAGAGCAGTACCTATGCCTTTGGTGATTATTAAGGTTAAATGAGTTAATATATACCAAGTACTTAGAATACCCCTTGATGAAAAGTTAATGCTGGAAAATAATGTTTTTTTCACCTGTCTGTGATGGCTTCAAAAATACTAGAGAAGGAATAAAGAGTCTTCTTCAAGCCCTTTCAACTCTGTAACTAAAGTCAAGTAGTAACAACATGGTAATTACATATAAAGTTATATACAGGCACTATATATATATGCTATGTATATATTACATAGTACACATGTAATTATACATACACCCACACACAGACTTGAAAAGGTCATTAAGTACTGATTTTTGTTACATTTACTGAATACTTTTCCTTAAAAAAAAAGAAAGCAAAAATCATTCCAAGAGTTTAAAACCCATAAGTCTATTTTCTAATAAAAATGGAAGGACAGTAAAAACAACCAGATAGAATCTGTGTCCTTATAACTCTTCTAGGAAATTTCTCTATCAATTTAAACTCACATAAATACACTCATACTACCCTTAATTCTTTTAACATGTTTTCTCCAGCCTTTTGAGCTAGTGATTTATCTAGATAGGTTTACTGTTTCGCTTAGAAGGAGGATTGTTAATCAATCCCTGTCACCTATCTCTATTTTTCTATTTATACTCTGAAGTCAAGGGCATCAGTCAAGATGAACTAATACTGATAGAACCTTTGCAACAAAAATGGTATATAATGAGCATTCTCACAGCACTGAAAAGTTTAAGGACAAACAAGTATAAAAATATTGCTTCAATCTTGGTATTCAGGATATTTAATGCAGAATAATACTGCAATAGGACAGGATTTGAATCACAAGATCTCATGAGAGAAAGATGAAAATTCATAATACTCATCACCTCCCCAGCTTACTGAAGAGTTTAATAATTTTCGTGCAGTCAAGAATGGAAAAAGGTTTTATTTGCCCTTAAAAACACTCACGAGTTTACAACCCTGCCAGTTTCCCACAGCAATTTTCCATTTTAACTCTGACTTCCATCTAAAAGTCACATGAGAAATTAGCTATATACATTCATTTCTGGGCAAAATAAGAACCTATGACATTTCAGAGAAAACTGCTCCAATTCAGATTTAGAAAGCAAGACTCTAAAATTAGACAGAAAACACTGCTAAGTGTCCTAACACCTTAAGCCAAGAGAGGGCAATATTTCTTTGGCAGGAGCAACAGTCCATGAAATTTGCTTTCAGTTCTGATGATAACAAAATGTTTTAACTTTATTGAAAAAAAAACAAACAACTGAAGCTTAGTATGAAAGTCACAGAATTCAATGTGTGAAAACATTAAGAACTGCAAGTACCTTTATCATTTTACAAGTGAAAAAAATAAAATGAACAACTATGTGTTTTTCATAAAGTAAACTAAAATCAATAAGTTTTCAGGATGTCACCATTCTGAAGCTTTGTTTTTGTTTTTAGGTCTAAAATCAGAGCTATTTATCACAGTCTTTGAGGATAGTTTTCATGGTGGTTCTAATTGAAGTGTAACTGCAGGTGGTAAAGAAGCCCACCTGCCTCACTGTAGAACAATGAGTTACTTATTAACATGAAGACCACATCATTGTTTTCCAATTATCTTTCCTTCTTTTATAATATTACCTCATGAGAAGTCTGACAAGGAGATTGCCTTAGAAACCAACTTGTCCACTAAATACAAGACAGAAAAAAGAGAAGCGGGAGGAAGCAGTACAGTGGTGAGGATCTCACAGGATCCCTCTCGGGGCCCATCCTTCAGGACATTCTGCACCCTGTGGCTTCACCTCAGGGTTCCACCAGACTGAACAAAGTATCCTAGAGATCTGCATCCACTTTCACAACTTCACGAGGAACTCTCACAGATAGCTCCTACTTTTAAGATTGTATTTCTCACTCAATTCCAGTTTCATATCTTCCAGTACAATTCAACCTTTCCAGTCTGTTTTGACAATTTATAGCTGAATTTAATTATTAATTAATATTTGCCTAAGGTTAGTTCCCTTTACTAAATTACATATTTATGTTTCAAGCCTGGGGGCAAGACCTTCCAGTGGCTTCCCATCAAATTGAGCAAAACCCAAGCCCACGGATGATCCTATAGTTCATCCTGCTCCATCCACTGCAGCCTCCTGGCAATTCCCTAAACATGCCAGGCACACTTTCATCTCAGGACCTCACACAGCCTTTTCCCTGAGTTTCCACTGCTCCTCCTCTAGACACCTGGCTAGCTCTCTCAGTTCTTGAAGATACTGGCTACAATGATACCTTCATACCAAATCCTGCCTGAACAAGCTATCTAAATAACAACCTGCTTCCCACCCTCAACAATATCCTGTCTCCTTCCCTACTTCACTTTTCTCCTTAGCTCTTATACTCTCTACTACATCCAACTAAAATAAGCTAAGTCAGAGCAAGAATTCCTCATTTACTTTAGTTCACAAATGTACCCCTAGTATAGTGAATGGCAGGCTGTCTGATAATTAGAGATAACCAAAGGTTAGGTGGGGTGGGATGACATACTGGACTTGACATACTGAACTACTGATCCAGCAGATTTGTAAATGTAACCTTTGTAAATTTGAAAACTATCCTCCTATCCCATGGAAATGCTATATAATACAAAATAAAAATTATATTCTCAAAGTCATGCATAAATATACATGCATATGTGTCAATATATGCCTCTATATGAAAAGAAAGGACTCACAGGAAAAGCAAAAGTTACTCTAAAATTAGATGTACATAAATATATCCTGCACAGTAATACTTTTCTTAGCTAGCAGTTAGACTTCAGCAGAACAGCATAATTATATTTCAGGAAATAATTCAAGAAAAACAGAATACAAAGGAGGGATTAGGTTCCTGTTGACTCAAAATTTACACAAGAATGCATAAAGATGTCCTTCAGATGGGCTAAAATATGCAAAAGCACTAAGTTTTATAACAGGGCTATGACTTTATGCATACATGTCTCAAAGCTGAGGTGCTCAAACCATTCATAAAAGACCATTTTTCATTAATTTATGTGATTTCTTCATGAGAATCTATATCAACACTTCAAGTTATGTCAGCAATGAGGGAACAACCTAAAATACAGTATTCAAGTATAAACTCTTAAAATCCTGTTATGGAAAAAACCTATCTCCCAGATAATACCCACAACTAGTGAAGAATAAACTAGGCAACAATTCCCTTCTCCTTCAGGTTAGTATAGAAATACATAAGCAACCCCATTTTTATCCAAATTCCCAATGCCAAGATTTCACTTCAAAATTTGAAAATATGCAACGCAGCTTCGAAAGGATTTCATTAAAATGTAGCTTATAAAGTATGCTATTTAAGATCTCTTACGTATTGCACCATTAATAGTTCATCCAACAAGCCAAACAATATTCTTTTAGCATTTATTATTGCCAAGTATTGCTCTGATATTTGAATACAAAAGTAAAAAAAAGAAACAAAAAACCTGCCCACGATAAGGCAGTTAAGGCAGGACTCACTGGGATGACATTTAAGCCAAGACTTGAAAAAACTGTGCTAGTACTACAGACATCTGGGGGAAACATTCCAGATAAAAGGAGCTGGAATTTTAAAAGTCCTACAGTACAAGAAAGTATGGAATTTTCTAAAAAAAAAAAAAAAAAAGCAAGATGCTGGTGTAGCTAGACAAAGTGAACCTAGCAAACTGAAGGGTGGAGGTGGGGATGATGCAGACTGTGATGGGCTCAGTACCACCAAGTGAAGAGTCTGGCTTTCACACTGAGAAATGGGATGCCAAGAAGGGTTCAGAGCAGGAAAATATGATGCTACTTTTAATTTTGAAATAATGACCTGACTGGACACAATGTCTACAGTAGTCCAGACAGATGCAATGGGAGCGTGTGTGCCAGCTGCGGCAATTCTGCATTTATACAAGAAAAGAAAAGCAAGGCATGTTTTGAGCTGACATGAGGAAGGGCTCTGATGAAACAGGTTTTTAAATATGAGAAACATTTATTAACTGCAAAGTGGTTTGCTGAGCCTACAGAAGCCAATGTGGATTCTGAGAGGTAACATTTGTATGGATGTTAAAAAATGACAGTCCTGGCCCTCCCTGGTGGTGCAGCGGGTTAAAGCACAGCACTGAGAATCTAAAGCCACTTCTGCATGAGTTCAATTCCCGCCTGCCCCAGAGGTGACCACATGGCGAGGCAGACCTCTCCTGACACACCCGCTGCTCCCCTCAGCAGTGTACTTCGTAGATCTGTCTGTTCTGCTCCCCACTCTGTCTCTGATGAAGCCTCTCACCGCCCCTGAGCCTCTGGCCTGTACCCCAGTTCTGTATGAACAAATAAATAAATCTTAAAAAAAAAAAAAATGACAGTCGGATACAACAGGGGAAATTCAAAACAGTGCATAATGTTCAAGAGTACCGGAGCAAAAACAAAAACTCTTTACATGTATAATCCCTCCAGCTCTCTCCCAAAGAGCCATATCCTGGAGTGTCTGTTAACAGCATACATCCCTGGAACA